TCGTATATAAAAAAAGATTTCTCCAGGAAAGTTAATTCTATTGAGCAAACCTTCGTACCATCATATATCCATTGAATTTTAAAGTTTTCGTGATTTTGTAACAAAGTTTCTCTGCGGAAACTCAATGTATGTTCTTACTCTAAAGAAAATGTTTTTGATGATAAAAAATGATGGTAAAAAACTAATCTTTTTTTCAAGATATCAAATCTTTTTTCTCACTAAATAAAGACGAACTTGAATTAACTACTTCTTTAATATTGATTATTTTACTCATAAATGTTTTGTGTTTTGTGTTTTACATTAAATTTATGATGTAAAGTTATGCAAAGATTTCATATAAAAGTATACTTTTCACAAATAGCATTATTCCTCAAATGTAAAACTTAATACTTAATACTTATATGATCATTACGTATGATTATTACAATATGATGCAATTCTGTACTGTTACAACTTATGCAAATTTTTACAATATGTATTAGTTCAATGTTTATTCGTTATAAAAAATACAAATTATTTTTTATCAATGGTTTTTTCCGACTTCTATATAATTTTGAGCTCAAATACGTCATACGAAATTTTGAAAGTGTGAAAATTATTTGACGTGTGCAAAGCACACCGGACTTTTACTGGAAACAAAGAGAAATTAAATTATCGCTCAATTCTGTGCAAAACGAATCGCTAGAGCAGATTTTACTCGGATTGAAAAATCCATCGCGCGTCGCAACTACGAAAGCCGCGTCAAAGCTTTGAAACAGAAAACCGATAGGAACAACGTAAAACTATCCTATGTCGATTCTATGTCGATATCCTCCCGTTCGATTTTATGTACTTGCCCAACTTTCATTACCATTTTCTCTGCATTGCTTATTTTTCGTTGAATCCCATCCTGATTTCCAGCTCTATTTCCTTACTTAACGATTCTCGACATATATCAGGATAAATGTTGTTTCGAGCTTTCAAATGTTCCATTATGTTTCATAATAACGTTACTTTCTTTTATGTTAAAAATCTTTTATGTTAAAAAAATATGCGATGCTTATATATCGCACACAAAGAAAGATGTGAATATATATTTCATATCTCTATGGTATCGCTAGTTTTCATCAAAAAAGATATAAAATATTTAGAGAGAGAAAAAGTTTCAATACTCTAAAACATAATTATATTGATTGTATCGCTCCTTGTTATTTTTGAATAATCGATTTAACTTTTAATTTTTAAGATATTCTTTCATAATTTTATTATAATATTATTCTAGTATAATTGATATTAACTTAATTAATGATAATTATTAGATCACAGGAGATTTATGTTAATTTGTTAAAAAATCAAAATCAATGGATCAAATTTATGTTAGTGATCGTAAAACGTGTCACGATACCATGTGCGATTTAGAGCGTGCTGTCGATGCAGTTCTATGTATGCTCGATCCTGAACGATTCACTACGGTTCAGTGCAACTCAAGCTCGGAACAGAAGCAGGGCATCGTGACGTCAATACACGCTTCCCTAAACCTTTGTCATCGCATTACAGCCGATCGAGAGTAATTTTGTTGTACTGGCATAGAGGAAACACTAAAATTTGTGATATATGAGTATGATATTTTGTGTGATTTTACATAACATTTTGTTCGCGTAAAATACACAAGATACCTACATGTATTTTTCAAAGAAGAAAGTTTTAATTTTCAATAAATCATTATAAATTAATATTAATAGCTGCATGTATTTTAAATAATTATGATAATTTTAAATAATAAAAATTATATATTATATTCAGAAGCAACGCATGTTACAACAAAATGAAACGTAGAAATATTCTTTTTAAAATTACAGATTTCTTTTTTGACGTATGTGCAAATTTATTGTAATGATTATAATGTATTAATCATCAAGCCAGTAATGCAAACCTGAAAACACATGTAACCATTATAATTATCATTTTTTAAAACTTTGAGAGAATTTTCAAATCAATATCAAAAGCAATAATGTTAATACATATTACGTACTGATATAATAATTTAATTTAATATTATCCAATTTTCAATTTGAAAAAGTTAAAAACTTCCACTTTATTATAAAACATAGATAATTCGTAGAAAATATTTCTTTAGAATATAAAGATAGATATCTGCATATAGATTAATTCTATATTCAGAGAAATATAGTGTGAAAGTTGATTGCACGTAGATTTTGTTAGAAGATTAAATTGCAACTCTTTCTTATTACATTTACTGCTTTAGTAGGCGTTTTAATTTTCTTTATTATCATATTTTAAAAATTATTGTTTATGCGTTTCCAAAATTATGCAAAAATATAACATACTCCCGTAATTTTATATCCTTCATCGGAATCTATGCAAAACAGAACCTATAATCAATATTACGATTTATGATCATATCAAAACATTCTCTCTTTCTCTTCTTTCTCTTTTCTTTCATTCCACTACACACAAATAAAACCCTCTTAATTATTTGAAAAAGAAAAAAAATAATGGATGAAACGGAAGAATGTCGATTGCTAAATAAAATATCTCATAAAGAACGATAAGCCTCTCCCTTACTGGTTGTAGTTTTATTATTCAAGGTGAGTCGCGATTTACCAGCTAAGAGATCGAATCTGGTTCTGCTCCTCTCGCTGTCCTCGTAGCCCTCGAGGTCGTCCTCGTAATCGTTGTAATCCTCAGAGACAGGACGGTGGTCGCCGTCGTTGTCACTGACATTTCGCGAGACGAGACTGTTGCTGGGTGAACTTCTTTGAGTGGCCTGTCGGATGCGGGCCCGATGGTCGTTATTGAAGAGGACCGACGGTGGCGGCGGCGTCGACAGCTGAGAGCCTTGAAGACGACGCTGAAGGTAACGGGCCAAGAGCGCCTGTACCGCGTCTGTCTCCGCCGTGCCTGGAAGACAGAAAGAGAGAATCGCTCTCGTGATCAGTCGACAACATCTTCCCGATTTTACAATATCCCGCTGGGCCCTTACATCCGCATTCTTACACTTCGTCTTTTGTTCTCGTCTCGTCTCGATTTTTCGCCATCCATTTTTCCTTTCTTTCGTTCTTTTTTCTCTTATCGTCAGTTTGCTCCCATTTTTCTGTGACGTAATAGTACTCGCATTTTCTTTCGCGAGATGGGAGACAAAAGAGCTCGAGACTCGATTCAGGATCGTCGCCTGTCGAGGAATCCTTCTTCTTGTGTCATGTATGAGATGCATTCTCGTATATGCATCCTCGTGCAAGCGTAAAAACATGCGTGATCTACGATGAGACGGGTTCGGCTATATGAATATAATCTCTCGTGTTCGTATCACGATGGTGAATCAAGAGAGATGTGGATTCATTAGTTCCAGAAAAATAATTGTGTGAGCAAACAAAGAGAGAAAGAAAGAATAAGAGATAAAAATTTCTATATGTGTAGTCAATCAAAAATGAAAGACTATTAAAATAACAAAGAAACGCATAAACCTTTTTAGCGTAAGTTTTTAAATTATTTTAAATGTAATTACGAATAGTAGATAAGAACACTTCTTAATCAATAGATAAAGATAATATTAATGATTGTAGAATTAAATATACAATCATTATAACAGATGAGTAAAGCACAGCGAATAATGTAAATTAAATTGTATGAGAGAAGACAGTTCATTCCAAAATGAATTTCACCCATTGCGTTTTGCCTTTAATTCTAATGTATGAATCAATGTAAACACAAACGAGCGTGCTCATAATGTGGAGACAATACATAGTGGGATATTCATGTCCGCGGAACGCTTTATTAAAGTGTCCCTGCCTCGTCTGCAGAAGTTCTGCAGAAGTTCAAAGGTAAAGGGGGAGCAAATAATTAAAGATGACTAGACGACGATGTCGTGAGAGCTGTTGGAGGATTTGCGGTGACAAGAAATCCAATTTTCGGTAAAGTCCAACACCAAGGACGAGTGCAATTACATCGATTTCTTCCTGTAAGCTTGTGCGCTAGCATGGGTGCTTCGTAATTGAATTGGATCGATTGTATCGCGCGAATCCTATCATTTCTTCCCTCGATCCTCTTTCCTCTTTTCATTCCAAATCTTTTTGCTAAACGAAGACGCTTGTCAAACTGTTATTCTGGCCAGTGGCTTGGTGTAATTAAATCCTACAGGTAAACGTTGATCCCATTATGAAAAAGCATCTAGCAAACTGGCGAAAAACAAGCAACGCGCCACTATACATGCGCTCTGTTTTCTTGTTATATTTCACGCGAGCTGGAAAATGCACGCTCGAGTTGACCGCAAAGGATCAGCCTTCCGACACGGAGGTGATGCCCCGACAAGGATTTTCAGAGTCGCCTCCGGAAACCTTTTGCCTCGCACGAATCTCGTTAGCCTTGCCTTCGCGCGCAAACTAATTTGACAAAACGTGCATTAAAGTGACAAACCAATTTACTTGCGTCACGCTGTTCATATTTATTTATCGAGTAATCAATAATGTTATTCTTAATTTGGATATTGCGCACGTTCCTAACTGAGTGACAAAATATTCTGATTGATTTGAATTTATAAAGTACATTAAATGATTTTTTTATTTATACAAAGCATATGATTTTACGCAAAACAAACCGTAACGTTAATTTAAATGGTATTGATGAATGTAGAGAGAATTGATGAATGTAGAGAGAATTGTTAAAAATACTGATTGAACGCTGAAACAAATGTTTGGAAAATATCAGACGAAACCACACGCGATAATAACATATCGTCCGAATTTTTTGTATGTTCGGTTTGACGTGAAAACTAAATATAACCAAAACTAATATTTGGTGCGCGTTACGGCAATTAGAAAAATTCTCATGTTTCCGCAAGACAACACGCAAAAAGCGTTACTCGATATCGGAAAAATAATAAAACGTCACGTTTCGAAATATTCCGCGACTATTCCTATTTGTTTTTTGTGGGAAAAAATCCAGGAATAATCGCGTGAATAGGAAGAACATTTGAACAAACGAACAAATTTTTTGTTACACAAAATATTCTTACTTCATTTAAAACTTTATCGATTTCTTCAACTCTGTTATGCAATTATGTGCCTAAAATTTTTTAGAAATTATAGGAAAAATTATTGTATTTTAAAAATTGTTATCCTTAAATAATAAATTTAATAAAGTAAATAATAAATTTAATTGAAAAGTTAGAATAAAGAAGTTAAAACAAATTGTAAAATTATTTAAAGATATAAAGATGTTATCAAACAGGCATGAGACTTGGAAGAAAATTTCGATTTGGTTGTGAGAAGGAACATGAAATAAATCGTGGAAAGTCATAGGTTACGCCATGCAACAAATTGAATGGATTTCTTCGTGGATTCAAGGCAAGATTCATCCTAAGAAGAATTTAGCAACGATCTCGTTCGAAAAATGTAAATCCGCGGAAAACCGCCGCCGATGTGAAAATTTCTCTAAACCGAAATCCGAGATATCTTCTTAGACAAGGTAAATTTTATGCCGAAACAACTACGGAGGATTGGCATCAAAGAATTTGCAAAGCTAGCTAGACGAACGCTGCTTCTTTCCTTCGAGAAGGAATTTCTTTCGTTCTGTGAAAATCAAATGAAGCATTTTCAAGAGAAGACGATGATATCTTTTTTCAACAAAAAAAAGAAACGGTAGAATTTATTTCAAGAAAGAATAAAGCAATACAAGACGCTTGTTGCCAGGAAATCCGAAATATTTTCTTCGGAAGCGGAAAATTATTTCGGCCGAGTGCTTGCAGTATCGCCAGAAATGAAACGTTCAGAAAGAAAAATTCACTACATCTTCTCGCGCATGAACTAAAGCGCAAAAGGAAACAAAAGAATTTGGAAGCTTTCCAGGTGAAAGCATTGTACAATTGCTACTCAATTTCTTTCGAGAGTTCATAAACTAATTGATTATGAGATTTTACATCAACCAAATGAAAATAATTGTGCGTTTCAAATTGATAATCAAATTGATTATCAAATTGATAATTGATAATGATTAAAATATCAATATTACTGGTTGCATGTTACTCGTTTATTTTGATTAAGTTTTGCCGATTTTCATCTTCAAGCAGGTATCTACAATTTTTTAAATAAATCGCTCTCCCTGGAGTAGCAGTGAAAACTACAGTAACTGTGCATTCCGAAATGACCGACGTGCCGAAATTCAAGATTGACCACAGGACGATTCAACTGAGAAAAGATCACAAAGTCCGAGTGGAACTTCTGCAAAATTGTCGGACGGAGAATTGCTAGTGAGGACTCCTTCGGTCCAGAATTCCAATTTGGACGGGAAATTCGACAGGGAGCGTTCCGTTTTCTATATTCAGTATTCCGCTCGGGTGCGAAATCGGCACATCATCATCACCACTCGACGCTTCGCGCCTAAAGAAATCATTACGGCCGGCCAGAGAAACGTGAATGTCTCTTCGAATGATTTAAGCTTCACTCGCGCGTTCTCGAGAGCTCCAGAGAAGGTATGCATTAAAATGGAATGTCTCGCCTGAACTGATTTGCAAGTTTCGCGTCTCTCATCCGGTCTGCAGCCGGTGCGGAAACCAACCTTCTCCTGTAATCCATTGTCCTCACTTCATAATTCAATGACTTTCGGAACTACGTTTCCCGGACTATTTCCTCGACGGGTCTTCTGAATGTTTTATGCGATTTTAAGATTACCGCTGGCGGACGGCGATAGCGCGCGATACGCTTTTACCGTAATTGGATCTAAATTCTGGAACGGACGAACGAAGTCTAATAATAGCTTCGCTTCTTGAATATAGACTATTATTGTATCAGAGTCAATGTTACCCTATTATAGCAAGTTATAAAGATATTGAAAAAAGCGTTGATGATACGAAATAATTTATAATGTACGATAATATTATATATATATATTATATTCCATTGCAATGATATGATATCGATTGTAACGATATAGAAAGATTATGGTTGCAGATAAAGATAGGCAGAAATCTGTTTTAAAGATGTAACGCAAGCACAAAAATTATATTCTGTTAAATAGAACGTTTAATATATCATGTATTGTTATTGATCTCTTTTTCGAGATAATGCTGTTTGTTAAATATAGAACATTCAGTTGAATTATAAAAAAGGCAATGTGAACGGTTCATGTGAAATAAAGGCAACACTTGACTTGCAAAGAGGAAAATCAAGCCGTGCGATTACCCACTCCAACGAAGCATATTCGTATGAATTTCGTTTCAACCGTCAATGCGATTGCAGAATTCTTTGCGTTAAAAAATGTAAAATGTAAAAGAATATATCTCATATATCTCAATGAAGATAGCGTACATACATTAATCACTTTTTATAAGTATTTTTTGATAAGTAATTGTTTAATTTCTATTAAAAGTATCAATTATTTTATCATGAATTTTATTTCACATGATAAAAATAACAATCTATTTTCTATGCTAATTTACGAATCCTGCTTTATAAAAGAATTATGTAATTAAAATCTATTTAAACAAAATTGTTTATAATAATTAATATAAAAAAAAATTTATATTAAAATAAAATTCGAGGTAAGAATTAAAAAAGCAACATGATTACTTCGGTTTAATATTTCTATATAAATTGATGAATATTATTAAATAATCTTACTTAGATCCTTTATTTTTCGCGAATTTTCTTCAAACAAAACGGATTTGATAGTTCTGAATGTATTTGCCGTCTGAAACGGGCCATTTGGTCTCAAAACGAGCGGAGGAGCCAAACGTATCCAAACGCTGATGGCGTGTTTGGATATGGTACTTTCAAGACGGTTTCCACCCAAGAAAAGCACAATGTTTCGAGATTTATACGGCGTAAATAGCGAAAGATCCTGTGTAAACGTCAATGTTCCGTATATACGCGAGTTCCCGTACGTGACAAGTGCCTTAAGTAATGGTA